AAAAAGATATCACGTCGATAAACGATACTTCGATCAAAAAGTTGAGAGAGAAGGTTATGCTAAATAGACTTTCATGCTTTATTGTTGATGTCTACTTTGAAAAAAAGGAAAAAAAAACCATTACAAGTTGGTGAGTTCTCAACTTTATCATCAAGTTTCAATTTAACGGATTCAGAACAACTAACAAAATTTTTAGTAAATGCAATTGAGACAGACGATAAAAAATCTTCTGCAATAGAAAAAATAGGTAAAGAAGAAATTGGTTAAAAAAGTCCCCCGATGGTCATACAAATTAATAACTGAATTGGAACAAATATCGTATTTTACAAATCCACCAGATGATCATGATATTCGTTCAAGAAAAGGGATCAGTGTATTAATTTTTGAAGAACCTAAGACTCTCAAAGATAAGACTACAAACAAAGATAAGAATACAAAAGATACAAATATTCAAGCTATAAAATCCGACGATAATGAGAAAGATAAAAATATTAAAAAGAAAAAGGAAGATGAGGATAATAAGCTTTTTTTATTACGATATCCGCACCAATCTGATTTTCGCCAAGGCTTAATAAAAGACTCTATGCGAACTCAAAGACGTAAAATAGTTATTGAGGGACTTTTTAAAGCAAATGCGCATTCCCCTCTTTTTTTTTGACAGGATGAGGAAAAAAACCTTTTTTTCTCTACCATACCTGGCTCAACTGAAACGGCTTTTTAGAAAATGGTCATCCATAAAAGAGTTTGGGATTTTAGAATCTACAGAGGAAAAAAAAATAATAATAAAAAGAGAAACCAAAAAGGAAAAAAAAACGACGAGAGGAAATAGAACGGTTAGAGATAGGGGAAGCCTGGGAGACTTTTCCATATACCCAAATAATAAGAGGTTTTTTATTAATAACCCAATCAATTCTCAGAAAAAAGATTCTATTACCTTCATTCATAATCGGTAAAAATATCGGGCGTATGCTACTATTTCAAACTCCTGAATGGTCTGAAGATTTAAAGGGATGGAATAGAGAAACGCATGTGAAGTGTACTTATAATGGTATTCCGTTAGCTGACAAAAAATTTCCGGAAAATTGGTTGACAGAAGGTATTCAAATCAAAATTTTATTTCCTTTCTGTCTCAAACCTTGGCACGAATATAAATCGCTAAATTCTCGTGATGACTTTTGTTTTTTAACAGTTTGGGGAAGGGAAACAGAACACCCTTTTGGTCATCCACGACAAAAACCTTCGTTTTTTAAGCCTGTTTTTAAGGAACTTTACAAATTTGTAAAAGTAAAAATTAAATTTTTAAAAAAGTTTTCAAAAAAAAACACAAGTTCAAAAGAAACAAGAACAATACACCCGAGTGTAATAAAAAATGAAAAAGATGATCTAATAAATAACCAGATAATGAATCAACCCTTGAGTAAAATTGAAAAAATTACAGATTGGAAAAATTATTCACCGATAGACAAAATGCAGGCTATCACTCATAGGACAAGTACAATTAAAAAAAAACTAGAAAGAATTACGGAAGATAAGAAAAGGGTCACTCTAGAACTTGATATGAACCCTTACAAAAAAAGTTCGAGATTAGCCTTGTCAAAAAATTTTTGTCAAATGTTGAAAAAAAAAAAAAATAGATTAATATATAAATTTAATTATTTTATAAAATTATTTATTCAAAGAATATCTAATTGTATTTTTTTATATACTATATCTATTTGCCAAATGACTCAAAAAGTCTTTGTGGAATCAACAAAAATGAACTCTCTTTCAAATTCAAATATAAAAACGCATAATAATAAGCTTTATAAGGAAAATTCAGAGAGTTTTGGTGATTTATCCAACTTGTCACAAGCATATGTATTGTACAAAATATCAGAAAGGGGTTTTTTGAACGTACGTAATTTCATATCTGTTCTTCAACAAAATGGAACATCTTTCTTGATTAAAAAGAAAATAAAAGACTCATTTCATACACAAGGAATACTTCCATCTGAAGGAATAAAAAAAACAACTTAAGCGGCCTAGAACGAGTCAATGGAAATTTTGGTTAAAAGGGAATTCTCACTACGATTTATCTCCTAATTTCTGGTCTGCCTTAAGATCACAAAAACAAAAATGGAGAAATAGGGCGAATCGCTATCGTAGGTCTAAACAAAAATATTTAGACAAAAGGACTTCCGGTAAAAAATTAAAATTAAATACTTACAGGAAACAAAAGGATGCTAACTCAGTCTTGAATAAAAAAACAAAAGATAATTTAAAAAAATGCTATCGATATGATCTTTTAGCATATCAATACATTCAGTATGAAAAAAATAGTGGAACCCCTCCAGGAGCTAAACGGGAAGCAATTTCTTATCATTACAAGATGTCACAAAACAACTTGTTTGCGATAACGAAAAATATTCCTATCACTAGTTTCAGAGGAAAAATAGAAAGGTTAAATATTCCATATCCAAAAAAAGATGTCGATAGAAAATATTTGAATTGGAAAAATATTGATTTTTCTCTTAAAAAAAAAGCGAATATTGAGTCCTGGATCACGGGTAATTATAACAATACTCAAAATACTCCAATTTTCACTTACAATTATCAATTAATTGATAAAATGGAAGAAATTTTGAAAATTGAGCAAATTTTTAAAAACGAAAAAGATCCTTTTGCTCTTTTGATTCAGAAAAATACCGAAATGAATCGACTCCATTCTAGAAATTCTTTATTGGATTGGATGGGACTGAATGAAGAAATACTCGACCGTCCATTAACGGCTGAGGAACTTTTGGTTTTTCCCAGAATTTGTGTGGTTTGTTAATTTATATAAACTGAAACCATGGATTATACCAAGCGAATCACTTATTTCAAATTTGAATCTTAATGAAATGACAAGTCAAAAGACCGGTAAAACTCAGAAAGATAAAAAAGATAAAACTGAGAGTAAAAAAAAAGATAAAGCCGAGGGTCAAACCAAAAGTGAACCTGAGGGTCAAACCAAAGGTGAAACTCAGGGTGAAACCAAAGGTAAACCTGAAGGTGAAACCAAAGGTAAACCTGAAGGTGAAACCAAAGGTAAACCTGAAGGTGAAACCAAAGGCGAAACTGAAGGTGAAACTGAAGGTGAAAAGAAAAGTCAAACTGAGATAGAACTAGAGTTATTCATGAAAAACTATTTATTTTTTCAATTTAGAGAGGATTTTACTTTAAATCAAGGCCTTTTCCAAGATCTCCAAATCTATTGTCTCTTGCTTAGAATGATAAATCGAAAAAAAAATGATGCTATCATGGATTCTAAGGGAAAAGTTAAATTTGGGTCTAATGCCACAGATGGATCAGAAAGAGAGTGTTCCAGATTCAAAAAGAAATGTTCCAGATTCAAAAGAGAGTGTTCCAGATTCAAAAGAGAGTGTTCCAGAATTTTTAAAAAAGACGGGATTTTTGGTCGACCCCCTTCCGCTGTCTATCAAACCAAATGGAGAATTTCTTATGTATGAAACGATAGTTATTTCGTTGGTTCATAAGAGTAAACAAATTCTTAATAAAGAAGACGTAAAACAAAGAATAATTCGCGCTCGAGAGAACAATAATTGTGATCCGCTTCTTATTGAAAATATTTTATCATCTAGGCGTCGTAGAGAATTAAGAACTCTAATTTGTTTCAATTCACACAAATGGAATGGCGTGGATGCAAATTCTCTAGTTTCCAACAAAAATAAAGTTTGGGAAGAAAGCAACCCTGGGCCTAAGGATCAAAATAAATTAATTGAATTTTTTCTTTGGCCTAATTATCGATTGGAAGATTTAGCTTGTATGAATCGTTATTGGTTTTATACTAATAATGGGGAGTCGTTTCAGTATGTTAAGGATCCATATGTATTTACCATTGAATTTAAATTGGTGGAAATTTAATTGATAGTAGTACTATCTACCCTGTAGCAGGGTAGATGGTAGCAGGTTAGATGAAAACCAATATGGACACATACCCTATTTTATACCTCATTTTAATTTGGATCTAACTGAATTGAGGATACCATATATCTATCTAGATCTATATAGATATATTGTACCTCATTAAAAGAATATTAAGTTGAAAAAATTCACTTTGATTTTATTAATGAACCCTAAAAGAAAGGGTTTTCTTTTGATTTGAATTGATAGACTTAGTTAGAAGAATTCCTTTTTAGCAATAAATGTCTTTCACATCCAGTGATAACCTGTAAATCATTTGAAATGGCAGTTCCAAAAAAACGTATTTCGAAAGCCAAAAAGCGTATTCGTAAGAACATTTGGAAAAGAAAGACTATTGAGGTAAGATTAAAAGCTCTTTCATTAGCAAAATCTCTTTTAACGGGTAAGTTTCAAGTTTTTTTTACAAAAAAAATAAGAAAACATTGGACTCATTTCTGTCAAGTTGATTTATTCTATAATATAGAATAAAAGTAAATAATATTATCCTTTTTTTCTTTATTTTTTGTTCGTTCGTTTTAGTTACTAATCAATTATTTCATATCTATGAAATGAATCTAGAACTTAATTATAAAAAATTATTTTAAATGCATATTATATATCAATGAAGGGAGTTCATTTAGTTTATGATAAAAAACTTACAAAACAGAGGTTCCGTTGAATTTCAAGTATGGAATTTCACCAATAGAATTACACCGGCTTACTTCCCACTTGAAATTGCACAAAAAAGACTATTTATCTCAAAAAGGTTTACGTAAAATTTTGGGGAAACGACAACGACTTTTAGCTTATTTATCAAAAAAAAATAAATTCCGCTATAAAGAATTAATTGATAAATTGGAGATTAGAGAGACAAAAACTCATTCATTTTGAAGTTGCATAGCTTTTCAAACCTATTATAGAGGTAAATTTAGAACAACAATATGGTTACTGAAACAATTAAAAAAGAATAGCTTGGGGTAGTGAATAGAAAGACATCATGTCCTTTTGTCTATTGATTCTTACTGTATAAATTTGAAGGGAGTATTTATTTAAAACTTTAAAACAATAGATTGAGTTAATTAAAAAAAGAATCCTTATTTACCCTATTAGGTAGTTTGTAGGTAGTTTGCGTAGTTATAAAAAAATGATAATATTAAAACATAAAATAATTTTTTTTTATTTTCAAAACCAATCCAGAAATCTATTGATTAGAATCCTTCTGAGAATTCATTGAGTCATATAGTATCTAAAAACCAAGTATCTTATAATTTTATATTGGATAAAAATAATATTTGGAGGATACTATATCGATAATTCATAAAGTTTATAAATTTATTCGTCCAATGGCACATTCTGTAAAGATTTATGATACATGTATAGGATGTACTCAATGTGTCCGAGCCTGCCCACCGATGTTTTAGAAATGATACCATGGGACGGATGTAAGGCTAAACAAATTGCTTCTGCTCCGAGAACAGAAGACTGTGTAGGCTGTAAAAGATGTGAATCCGCCTGCCCAACAGATTTCTTGAGTGTTCGAGTTTATTTATGGCATGAAACAACTCGCAGTATGGGTCTCGCTTATTGATCTGGTCCAGAAAAGTATATTTGAATTCATTCTATTTTTATTGAACACCCGTGCTCTCAAATAGGAAATATTTTTATTTGAGAGCACGGGTTTCACAAATTTTTAGCTTTTCACGAAGTAAAAAATTAATGTCTTTTTTTATGTTCGCGAAAATGAACCATAAGTATGTAGACCTAATCCAATTAATTGACTCCAAAATAACATATCCAAATAAGAAGAAAACCTATAGATGCCACAATTGCCGAAGTAGCACCTTCGAAAGTTCTATTTCTTCGAGTATGTAGATAAATTGAAAACACTATCCAAGTAATAAAAGCCCAAGTCTCTTTAGGATCCCAACTCCAATAAGATCCCCACGCTTGGTTCGCCCACAAAGCCCCCGAAAGTATTCCTATGGTTAAAAAGATAAACCCTAAACTAATAACTCGATAACTCCAATAATCCAATTCTTTACTTAATTGAATCTTATAAAAATTTTTAGCCGAAAAAATATAATTCATTTTAAAAATATTTTCATTTTTTCTAAAGGTAATGACCATAATGATAATAAGGAGCCACATATAAGAGCTGCGTAACCCACTATCATCATACTTACGTGCATTATTAACCACTCAGATTGAAGAGCGGGGACTAATATTGAAGATTTTTTAATTTCTGTGAAAAGACCCGAAGTAGCAAAAGCCTGGATACAAAAATTGATTGGGCTTATTATTGTACTTAATAATTTTGTATTTTTTTTAAATAGGAAAGGCTATTAATAAGAGCAAAACTCCAGGAAAGAAAAAGCAAAGATTCCGATAAATCACTTAGTGGGAAATGGCCCGACGAAATCCAATGAGTAGCTAATAATCCTGTTATACATAAAAAAGTTATGAAAATGCACTTTTCTGATGAATTAGAAAGTTTTATGTTTTCATCTACAAAAAAGATTTCAAATAAATTTTAATTAAAATAGAAACGAGTATTATTGAAAGTGAAATATTAGTTAGTATATGTTCTAAGGTTGAAACTATCATAAAAATAAAAAAAAAATAAGATTTAAACTCCGAATTAGATAAGAAAAAAATGAAAAAGAACAAAAGATTACTCTTATTTTTTATGGCCGCTACTCGGACTCGAACCGAGATGCGCTAGCACTGCTTCCTAAGAGCAGCGTGTCTACCAATTTCACCATAGCGGCATGTTATTTACTTTCACTCATATATTCACCCATTTATAGAATTTATCGAAACGATAATTCGAGTGATGGGGCGAACGACGGGAATTGAACCCGCGCATAGTGGATTCACAATCCACCGCCTTAATCCACTTGGCTACATCCGCCCCCGACTAAACTATGTTATTTTCAAAAAGGAATCAATAAAGGAGCAATAACCGATTTCTTGTTCTAGACAAGAAGGCGGAATTGCTCCTTTATTCTATTTTAAATAGATTCTCTATCTATATACTAAGAGACGAAGTCTCTAGCCATTTGTAGCTATAACTTGGATAGCAGCTAGGTCTAGAGGGAAATTGTGAGCATTACGTTCATGCATAACTTCCATACCAAGGTTAGCACGATTAATTATATCAGCCCAAGTATTAATTACCCGGCCCCTGGCTATCAACTACGGATTGATTAAAATTGAAACCATTTAGATTGAATGCCATAGTGCTGATACCTAAAGCAGTGAACCAAATACCTACTACAGGCCAAGCAGCTAAAAAGAAGTGTAATGAACGAGAATTATTGAAACTAGCATATTGGAAAATTAATCGTCCAAAATAACCATGAGCGGCTACTATATTATACGTTTCTTCCTCTTGGCCGAATCGGTAACCTTCATTAGCCGATTCATTTTCTGTGGTTTCCCTGATCAAACTAGAAGTTACCAAGGAACCATGCATAGCACTGAATAGGGAACCGCCAAATACACCAGCTACGCCTAACATATGAAATGGGTGCATAAGAATATTGTGCTCAGCCTGAAATACAATCATGAAATTGAAAGTCCCAGAGATTCCTAGGGGCATACCATCAGAAAAACTTCCCTGACCAATTGGATAGATTAAGAAAACTGCGGTAGCAGCTGCAACCGGAGCGGAGTATGCAACCGCAATCCAAGGGCGCATACCCAGACGAAAACTAAGTTCCCACTCACGCCCCATATAAGAAGCTACACCAAGTAAGAAGTGTAGAACAATTAGTTCATAAGGACCCCCATTATATAACCATTCATCAATGGATGCCGCTTCCCATATTGGGTAAAAATGTAATCCTATAGCTGCAGAAGTTGGAATAATGGCACCTGAAATAATATTGTTTCCGTAAAGCAGAGATCCAGAAACAGGTTCACGAATACCATCAATATCTACTGGTGGAGCAGCAATGAAGGCAATAATAAATACAGAAGTTGCGGTCAATAAAGTCGGGATCATCAAAACACCAAACCATCCAATGTAAAGACGATTTTCAGTGCTAGTTATCCAATTACAGAAACGACCCCATAAGCTTTGGGTTTCGCGTCTCTCTAAAACTGCAGTCATGATCAATTCTTGGTTGATTTTATAATCAGGGACTCCCAAGCACACGAAATAAAAAAAAATAGAATAAATTAAAGGCTTGTTATTCAACAGTATAACACGACTTAGATATTCGTGTCAACCAATAGAGCTATCTAATTTGATTCCGCCCCCTTTTTTTAAGTCAAGCAAATTTTCTCCATTTAATTTAAGTATGACGATTTGGTACTCATAATTACAATCTGGAACTTGTTAGTTCGAGTAAAGAATATATTTTTTTTTTAATATTTTTGTGAATAAGCGTTCCTATATATATATATAAATTATATATAAATTATCTGTAGTCAATTTTAAAAAAGTTAAAACTAAGCTTACCCTTTAATTAGACTTTTTAAGAAAGATTTACGATCAAATGGAAAAATAAAACTTTTTGCCTCTATTAATAATTTTATAATTTGGTAAAAATTTGAATTTGACAAGATGCATGAATTTTTAAAAATTAATATGCTCTTCGATACAAACAATATCAAAATACCAAATCCGCCTTTTATAAACTCGCCTCAAATTTGAAGAAGCCTTTGAAAACGTGAAATTAAAAATTTGTTCTTCCGATGTAAAAAATTCTTCTAAAAATTCCGAGCCCAAGCTTTTTAAAAAATCGCGTACAGTACTTTTGTGTTTCCGAGCTAGAGTTCGAGCACAAGAAAGCCTAAGTATATACTTTATTTGATACAAACTGGTTTTTTTGGAAGAACCACTATAATAATGAATAAAATTTCGACATATCCGCCCAAACCTTTTAATAATCTCAGAATCTGAGAAGTCGGTCCAACCCGGTTTACTAATGGGATTCCCAAGTACATTACAAAATTTAGCTTTAGCTAGGGATCTAAGGATAGGAATAATTGGAACAACAGTATCAAATTGATGAATAGCATTTTTTATTAAAAATGAATTCTTTAACATTTGACTTCGTATTATTGAAGGGATTACTACAATACTTGAAAGATAATCCATAAATGAAAAAGAATGGATGGATAATTGATTTCTATTTATTCTTCCAGTATGGAACCAAAGAGAAAAATAAGATTCCCAAAATTTTACAATATAATAGTTCCATTTTGATATCAAAAGAAACGTTTCTTTTGATGCCATAATTGACTTTCCCCTATACCTACCATAATGCATTGAAAGATCCGGAGCCTTTAACAAACGGACGGATACTTGCAGAAAAATCCTCATTAAATACTTCTAAAAGGCATTCGATTTTTCCATAGAAAAGATTCCTTTCCAAAAGTGCTCGAAAACTGATTGCTTTTAAATGAAGAGACTGGTTGCGGAGAAAGACAAAAACGGATTCATATTCATATAAATAAGAGTTATATAAAAAGAAGAAAAGCCGCTCAGGTCTTTTTGTCAAAATGTAATGGGACCTATTGGGAGTATTCAAATTTTTTGTAAAACTCATATAGAAAGAAGCGTAATAAATGTAAAGAAGAAGCCTCTTTGACCCAATACCGAATTATTTGAACCACGATTTCCAGATGAGGGGGGGAGGGAATTAGTAGATCTAATACCAAATTTAAATGTGATAAATTGTCTTCAAAAAATGGAAATATGGAATGAATTGACCGTAAACGTAAATTATTAGATTTTAAGAGTTTTTTTTTTTTGCGCTCTGATATGAATCTTAAATAAGACGGAATTTCCAAAATAAAAGCAAAAACCTCAGCTAACTGGTTACAATAGAACAACTTGCTGGTTCTAAAAATTTGACTTTTTTTATAATAACAATTAGTGAGCTGTATCTGTTGATACATTTGAGTAATTAAGCGTTTCACAATTTGAAAACTAAATTTTTTTTTATATACTATATTTTCAGCAGAAATTGACCCTTTTAAACCACTTAAAGCACGATCATGAACAAGGACATAAATATACTCCTGAAATAAAAGTGGATAAAGGAAATTCTGTTCTTTCGATCTCTCTAGTTGTAAATCTATTTTAAGTTCCTCCTTTTTTTATACAAAAAAACCATAACTATAACTATATAAACTATATACATCAAAATCTCTTTCTATTACAAAATAGCATTATTTAGATCATATGGAACAAATTCACTGCTATAAAGCCAATAACCTATTATTTTATTTATAAAAAAAAATGGTGGATGTAACAAGATAACGGATCTTGGTTTTCATCTTTAAAGTGACATGTTGATTTATACCACATCGTTGCAAACCACGTTGGACCATAATATTCTTTCTTAGAATTTGGAACCAATATGTACTTGATTAAATCAGGGAATCTTTAATAGTCATAGGTTCTAGTATTGGTTTGAGTTGTCTCTAAACATACTATCCTTTTAGGTTTTCTATATATTTTATTTAGGTAGATAGATTATTTTCTCTCTATTATTTCTATCTCAATAGACTATTTCTATTCGATAGAAATAATAAGATCAAAAAGATTTGGGACGGAAGGATTCGAACCTCCGAATTCCGGGACCAAAACCCGTTGCCTTACCACTTGGCCACGCCCCACTTCAACACTTCAAAAATTAAATAACCATTTTATTTTTGTCTATTGAATTTAAAATGGATATCAATTTGATTCTATGGTTCTGGTTTTTTTTATGTGTTAATTTATTTCTTTTGTATATTATTATATTGTCTATATTCTATTATAGTGTATTATAAATATTGAAATATTTCTAGTCATTGTGAAGGGTTCAATTAAAAAGAGGAATCAATATTTTGCGCCCGCCCTACGAATTCAATATAATGTTTTTATATTAATTTTATAAAAATCATATCTTAATAATTCATTATCAAAAAAAACATGTCTTTTATGCTTAGTTTTATCTGTCTTAATTCTGTCTTCTATTCAAGTAGTTTTTTATTCGGCAAATTGCCCGAATCTTATGCTTTTTTGAATCCAATCGTCGATTTTATGCCAATAATACCTGTTCTTTTTTTTCTTTTAGCTTTTGTTTGGCAGGCTGTTGTTAGTTTTCGATGAAATACTTAATTAAACAAATTGAGTAAAATAAGAATAAGAACTTCCTTGCTTTTTAAAGCTTTTTTTTATAGTAAAAGACTCTACTAGGATTAGGACCATTCCCCATATTTAATTTGGTAAACTCTTATTTCAATTTGATTTATGAAATTTTTTTCTTTAGAAAATTAACTCTATTTCAACTTTCTTTCTTGGTACCTTATAGTACCTATGTGGTCTCAAAATAGAAAATATATTCTATTTATTTTTTTTTCAATAAAAAATATTGGAGGTTTGTAATGCTTACTCTCAAACTCTTCGTATACACAGTAGTCATCTTTTTTGTTTCTCTATTTATCTTTGGGTTCCTATCTAATGATCCAAGGCGTAATCCTGGACGTGAAGAATAAAATAAAACGAATTTGCAAATAAAAAAAAAAAAAAAAAGAAATAATACGATCCACAAAAATGGAAAGAGAGGGATTCGAACCCTCGGTACGAAAAACTCGTACACCGGATTAGCAATCCGACGCTTTCGTCCACTCAGCCATCTCTCCAAATTTTATTTAGAGAATTCTTATTTTATAATAAACATAGAACTAAGTAATTTTTTTTATTTTGATTATGCTTTTCAATCTATTATTTAAATATTTTTATTATATTATTTTATAAAAATCTAAATTAAGAGTTATAAGATGTTTTGTTTTGATTTTTTACTCAATTATTTAAATGTTGAAAAGGCTATTCTTGTTCGCACGGCCCGGTCCTTACTCAACCGGGCGTTGTTTTCTAAGGAAGTAGAAAATCATTTTGAATTTCATATTGAATAAAAATGGAATAAAAAAATTATTATTTGATTATTATTTGAAAGATTTATTTGGAGATGCTCATTAATGAGAATATTTTTAAAGGGGAATAGGAATAGACAATAAAAAAAGATCACCTAGAATCCGATCTAATTATTTATTGTTACAAATAATTTTGAGGGGTAAGACGCAAAAAAGAAGCACCAAAGCGTCCATTGTCTAATGGATAGGACATAGGTCTTCTAAACCTTTGGTATAGGTTCAAATCCTATTGGGCGCAATTTTTCCATATCTTTCTATTGTGTTTGAATTTTTTGATTGAAGTACTTATTTAAAGTTTTTCTTGAAGTAGAAACCGATCCTTTTGGTCCGGAATAGCTTTTTTCAAAAGGGCTTCTGCTTCATCGGTAAATGTATTGGTAGACGATATGATTTCTTGGAACTGAGGTTTATTAGTTTTGAAGTAAGTATATAACTCAATAAGAAATTTGCTGATCTGTCCAAGTTCTAATGAATCAAGATACCCATTTATTCCAGCATAAATAGTAATAATTTGCTCTGCCGCCGGCAGAGGAGCGGATTGGGATTGTTTAAGCAATTCGCGCAATCGTTGACCTCTTGCTAATTGATTTTGACTAGCTCGATCAAGATCAGAAGCAAATTGG